ATTTGCAGTAGTGAGTTTCTGAAATTAAGTCAAGGACTATATCTTAAAATTGTTGTTAGGTGCTGTTGAGTTGGTTCAGACTCCTAGTAACCCTATGCATGGCAGAATGAAAGAAACACTGCCCAGTGCTATATTCTCCTCACAATTGTTGTTATACTTGAGCCCATTGCTGCTGCCATCCTTTTGGGGTTCTTCCTCTCTTTTGCTCACCCTCTACTTTACCAAACATGATGGCCTTCTGCTGGGACTGGTCACGCCTGACAACAAATTCTAAGTGTGAGAGAGAAAATCTCTAAGGAGTATTCTGGCATTACGTCTTCCAACACAGATTCCTTTGGCTTTCTGGCAGTCTACATACTTTCAATATTCTTCTCCAATACCATACTTCAAATGCTCAACCCTTTGATTGTCTTCCTTATCCATAGTCCAACCTGGACATACAGATGAGGCATGTGAAAGCACCATGACTTAGATCAGGTGCATCTCAGTCCTCAAACTGGTATTTGTGAACACTTTAAAGAGGTCTTTTGCAGCAAATTTGCCTAGTGCAATGTATTGTTTGATTTCTTGACTACTTCTTCAATGAGTGTTGATTGTGAATCCAAGCAAAATGAAGGCTCTGATAATATCAATCTTGTCTCTGTTTATCATGAAATTATTTATTGGTCCAGTTGTGAGGATTTTTGTTTTCTTCAATTGAGATGCAATCCATATTGATCTTCATCAGTAAGTATTTTAAGTCCTCTACATTTCCAGCAAGCAAGATCCTGTCATCTGTATATCAAAAATGGCTAATGAGTCTTCCTCCCATCCTAACGCTACATTCTTCATACAATCTAGTTTCTCAAATTTAGCTAGTCTGTTTTAGTCTGGAAGCTCTACTGAAATGTGTCCACCATGAGTGATTCTGCTGATATTTAATGCACCAGTGGCATAGTTTTCAGCATCACAACGACACACAAGCCATTACAGTATGACAAAATGACAGATGAGTGGTGGGTTTTAGAGGTTACAAGTCCAACATGGGTTTCACTGGAATACAATTTAGGTGTTTACAAGATATTGGTCCTTCTGGAGAATCTAAGGAGCAGTTTCATTCTCTTTCAGTGTTTACAGAAACGACTCTGTATTTCTAACTCCATGTCTTACATATAAGGACCATTCAGTTATATGAAGTCTGGTGATTACATTACATCCATCTGGATAATCCAGGATAATCTGTGTGTTTTAAGATTCGTGACTTTATCACATCTTCAAAATCCCTTTTGCCAAGTAAGGTAAGATATTCACAAATTTCAGGGATTAGGATGTGGATATCTTTGGAGGGTCATTATTCTGCCTACCACAGAGGAATTCATTATGTACATTTGGTCCCCAAAACAGGAATACCAATATTCCTGTTCTGGATCTGTGTTGGGCAATCTGGATGGGTTTGCTTTCTCAAACGTGTGAATACATTCTCTAGAAACAGAAAGAAAAGGGGAATGGGTGTAGGTTGAGAGGCATTTTAAGGTGAATGAAGAGGAGGTTCTTTTATTAAGGGGGATGAAGGAGCAGGCTGAAGATTTGAGAAAGGTGGTAAAGACTTGGAAAAGCTGCTGTTGGAGGTGGAGAAAGCCACCAACTAAAATAGAAAATGCAGATCACTTCCCCCAAGAGCTTAGCTGAGATGAGAACATAGTTACCTGCGTCAGCCATGTAATCTGAGGTCATATCAATTATCACAGAGGCCTCAAGTCATGGACATGAAGATAAACACTAAATGAAAGTCAAATACCCCTCCAAATTTTTAGCTCAAATGTTATAAACAAACCAAACAATGACATCCAAATCAAAGTGGTCCTACCATCTCCTTTTGAAGTCCTGATATGGTGCTGTGGGTTAATGTGCCAGATTGCAAAGCCGTTTGAACTGCAAGGTCTGTGGTTCAAGCTCACCAGCTGCTCCTCAGAATCCTATACGGGGTCGCTATGGGTCAGAACTGACTCAATTGTATTTCACAACAACAGCTATCCCCTTTTAACTAGGCTATGGTTTCCCTTTGTCCATGATTCCTCTATGAAACCCAACACTAACTAGGCTAGCCTAAGAAGAAAAGAAAGAAAAAAAAAGAAGACGAATCATAAACCACATTGGAAATAAATCAAGAAATAAGAAAAACTGATCTGTTGCCCAAAAGAACAACAACCATGAAAAATTACACTAGCAAAGGGGCTATACCTTGTAGACTCACAGTTTAATTTTTTTAAAGTCAAAACCTAGAGGATCTGATTAGATCTACCAGCTGCTTCATGTTTCTAAGACATCCCCCCAGAGACACCTACTGAAGCTTGGATGTACTTCTGTCTTGCTGTGTCATAGGATGTTCCCCACCCCCTCCCGCTTGCTGCCAGTGCCTGCCTGTGTGCGTGTGTGCGTGTGTGCGAGTGTGTGTGTGTCTTTGGTCTCTCTCTCTCTTGTAAGAACAGGGCCTGCCTGTCTCCTGTTGTTGCTGCTGCTCTGACTTGCTCTTTGCTGCCTCTTTCTTCTCCTAATTTCTTTCTACTTAGCTTCTTTGCCTTCTGGTAAGTATGACAAACAGCCCCCGAGCCCTGTGAGAAGTTGAGGGTGCGGTTTGTGGTGTTCGAAACTTGCAATTTTGAGACTGCCAGTGAACTATTGAAGAACTTTCCATTGTTTTATTTATAATTAAAATGTGTTGCTCAGGAAGGGATGTTTATAATAATCTGCTGGGACTGTCTGTACAACTGAAGAATTCTCTCTCTCAGAGGAACAACAAACAAAAAAGTAGACAGTGAAGTTTGCATACAATAAGATTTCGATTTTTTTTGCCATAAAATTAATTAGGAAAGAAACAATTTAAAGTAACAGAGTGCCTTTACTTTGTTTTGTTTTGTTTTCTTTCCCTGTTGTTGATTTAGCCTGTTGTTGAGGCTACTTTTAGGAATTGTGTTATCTGATAATTTGCAGTGACTCAGTTATTTTGTTTTAAAATAAATGTGGAACAGGAGAGTGAAGGATAGTCATAGAATTATGTATTTAAAAAACTACAACAATGATTACAGCATCTGATGAAATAATGAGCAAATCAATATAAATAAGGCACTTGTATGTTGACTAGCCACAAGAACTCTATAAATTGGAAACTTAATTAATTGCTTTAAATTTTATTTCATTCTATGCTAACCTCAATAACATTTTAAAACTAAAATGTGGAATTAAATCAGTAAATATTTATTATTTTCAATTGATTGAGATAATATTCTCTTTCCTTGAATTTCAAGGATAAAGTGCTAAATAACATGACTGCTTTTAGAAGAGCTTAAAATAACTTCTGGCTGGACAGCAGGTGCTCTGTTCTCCAAGTTTGGTGGGGGTGGCTGAGGGGAGGTGGCAAGCATGAGTTATATATAGATGAGTGTGCCCAACAAGTAGAAGTCAGGGTCTAGAAAAATCCAGTGACAAAGACAATGGAGTTGTTTACTGCTTCATTTAGTAATCAAGTTGATGAATTTGAATGAGTGAAAGGATAAAGTACTTCCTTCCCAGTTAATAAGCATTTGGTGAGAGCCACAGGGTGGGTGTGGCTAGGTTTATATGTTGAGCTTTCCATTCTTGTTGGCATGCAAACCTTTGACATCTACTGCACTGAAAATGGGAGAAAGAAGCTGTGCTGTGTGCAGAACTGTCTGCTTTCTCTTTTGCGCCACCATAACAAATGACACCTTTGCATTTTGAGGATCTTTCGCTATTTTAAAGATGCTAACTAGCAGTCTCATAGTTAAATGATGCACCATAGCTTAAAGATCTAAGCCAAATTCATTGCAACTTCAGTCAGAAACTCTGAGTCATTTTTTCCCTCACCCTATTTCCTAAGAGCGTATATGCTATATCTGGATTATTTACCAATTGTTTCCTCTTCTTGGTCATTATATTTTAAAAAATTTTAAAGTATCTAAGTGTTTTTTGATGGAATAGAGAAACTTGTGATCTGTTTTGTTGTTGCTGTTTTCTAAATTAACACATATTTTAGATTGGAGTAAATGATATTATATAAGTTCAAGGAATTATTATTTATTATGAGCATCTCCATGCTTCTATAATTGTTGGTTTGTTTATTTATACCTTCTTCATTTTTTTGCCTTAGTCCAAAAATTATGCTAGTGCGAAGCTCAGCAAAAGTGTTTACTGTTCTATAATTACATGTTACTTATCCAGGAAAAGAAAAATATTAGAAAAGCAAGAAAGTACATATCCAGTATAACTGTGCAATTATATCAAAGTATTCATAGTCATCAAATTTTAATTTATGAATTAAAATAGACTTTGGGGATGTTATTGCTATGAATGATCTTTACTTAAGCCCAGTATGTTGTTGTTGTTGTTATGTACCGTGGAGTCGGTTCCGACTCATAGCAACCCTGCACAGGGTTTCCAAGGCTATAAATCTTTATGAGAGCAGAAAGCCTCATCTTTCTCCCATGGAACAGCTGGTAGTTTTGAACTGCTGACCTTACGGCTCGCAGCCCGATTCATAAACACTGTGCTACCAGAGCTCCTTGTATAAGCTCTTTTATTAAATACTTTCAGTTTGAAAGAAAACTAATGTAATTTTTAATGGAAATATTTTAAATCTGCATATCCATTTACTTCTAATAATTGTAAATCTTCATAGAATTTGTAAGGGAACCACAAATTTACTATTCCAAGCAAAATAACAAATATGACCATAAAAATATGGTCATTGATTATTCTGTTAATGTTAATAATAGGAAACACTACTGGAATTTAAGCACCAAAACAAAAAATATGCTAGTAGTGTGACTTGATTTGGAAAAATGACTATCTTACTAATTGTTGTATAAAGGGTCATGAATATGCATTTATCTGTTAGTAATAGTAATTAATAGACATTTAGTTGTATCCTTACTGTTTACATATAACTGAGTTAACGACATTAAATGTAACTGTATTTACCACTAGCTACTACTACTCCAAGTATGGATACTAATCAACCTGTACAACTCTCAGCTGAACCACAGCCAACACCTTCAGGAGACAGTTCCTCATCATTAGCCAGTCAAAATGGCCTGGAAACGCCAAACGGCCAGGAGTCCTCCACTCCACACCCAACAGCACACAAAGAGGCAAGTGTGGTGCAGCCTGAAAAGGGAGCTCATGATATCTCTGATGAATTGAATCGACAACTGGAAGACATCATAAACACGTACGGATCAGCTGAGGGTACAGCAGGGAAAGAGGGTGCTGCTAAAGCCAAGGAGCAGCCTGAGAATGAAGAATCGCCCAACAATGAGGATGGGGACTGTGAGGAGATGACTGAAGAGCCTGAAAGAGAGCCATGTGCAGCCAAAGAGCCTGTCAACAATAAAGAGCAGAAACTGGAAAAGAAAATTCTTAAAGGATTAGGCAAGTAATGACGTTCTAACTTAGGGATTTTCATTCTTTCTATTCTTCATTATAAAGGGAGTTTCCTCCCCCCTTTACTAAAACCCACATTCAGTTATGTGTATCATTAGGATTACTACGATAGCCCACAGCCTGGTCAAGGGCTTCCTACATCCTCTTGCTTTACTTTCTCCCAGCCCCTTCCTCTCACTAGAACTAAGGTGAAACTGTCAACATGTTAGCCTCCTACCCTCTCTCCTCAGTGGTTTTCCATCGCTCTTGGGAGAAAGACCTAAATCCTTTAATGGTCTTTAAAGCACTTAATGCTCCAAAACCAGCTCATCTCCTATCACTCTACCCCACCCTATCCCCCTTCCTGAACACTCTGCCCCCATTACTGCCTCCACCCCTTTGTCATTCTGATCTTCTTTTTCAGTTCTCTGAAATATGTCTTGCTCCATCCCTCATAATGAGTCCTGTGGGCTAATGTACTGAACTGCAAATTCTGCAGTTGAAGCTCACCAGCTATTCCTTGGAAACCCCGTACAGGGTCGCTATGAATCAGAAATGACTCAACAGCACTTAACAACAACAACAATCCCCCATAAGATTTGTGCACATCCTATTTTTTTTAACCTAGAAATATCTACCCACTTCCCATCATCCCCTCAATTTAGCTCTTTGGGTACTTAGGTCCTACACATCATTTAGATCACAAGTTAACTCACTCCTAAATAAAATCTTATTATTTTGTATTTTAAAGGTATCATTATACATAATTCCTTCATAGCTCATAGCAGTGGTTGAAAGTATACGTTGATTTTTGTAATTCTCTGGTTAACATGTGTCTTCCTCCACTAGATCATGTATCTCAAGGGCAGAAACTGTGTGTATGTCACTAGATGCCTACTGCCTAGAACACTGGATAATACATAGTAGGTATTCAATAAATACTTGTAAGAATGAATAAATAATTTTTGTAGAGGAAGAAAAAAGTACCACCTCTCCAATTCTGCCACTATGTACAAGTCACCAAATTTCAACAATGTGTTTGACTAAAACCAATATTTGTTAGTAACAGGGCCCCATGAACCAATTCTAATTACATGTATGTAGGCTACTGGTCATTCCATGTCATCCTACTAAAAATCCTCAGCATGTATAATATACATTGTGTACTAAAACAACATTTTTAGACTAACCTAAACATGCAACCACCACTGCTGTTGTTATTAAGTGTCATCAAGTTGGTTCTAACTCACAGTGTTCCAGTATCGGGTTTCCGAGGAGTGGCTGGTGGGTTTGAACCACTAACCTTGTGGTTAGCAGTCCAGTGCTTATCCTACAGCACCACACCATTATTTTAGTTGTTTGCAAGTGACTTTAGCAGGTTTCTGGGCTACTTATTAATTAACTGTCACTGTACTACCATTTTGTTGTTATTGTTAAGAACTGTTGAGTCTGTTCCAATTCATCGTGATCCTGTGTATGCTTTCTGAGTCTGTAAATCTTTGCAGGACTAGGCAGTCTCGTCTTTCTTCTGAAGAGCAATTGATGGGCTTGAACTGCTAACCTTGCGGTTAGCAAGCTGATACTTATCATACAGAGCCACAGCATTCCTGTACTACCATCTAGACCAGTGGTTTTCAAGCTTAACTGTGCATTAGAATCAAATGCAGAATTTATCAAAATGCTGTTCCCAACCTCCACCACACCCACACACACAGATTCAGAGTGGTGGGTCTGGAGTGGGGCCAAGGCACTCTGGGTAATTTTGAGACAAACAGGTTGTGGAGGCAATGTTTTTCATGCTTCAGAAAGTGCTTCCTAGACTCTTCTAGAGAAAGGATGTAAAGTATAGGCTATGTCTTGTTTCTGGCAATCTATCTGGACCTTTCAAAGCATTTAGTAAGTAATTCAGTCCTTAACTGAAGACATAGACTTTGCTAATGTATTTGATCAACGAAGAGTTTTTAATTATTTAATGTTTATTAAATAATACTTCCTTTGCTAATATTTTTAAGATGCTGGGGCCTTCTGATTTTCTAAGCCCAATTTTTCCAAAGTATGTACTTTGGGTTCTTTGAGATTTCAGACAAAGTTACACAGTTCCTTTACTGCCCCAATTTTTTGACCTTGAATATATACACAATGAAAATCTCAATCGTGTTGGATATAGTTTTCAGCATTTCCTAAATTTATTAGACATGACTCTCTTTTTTTTTTTTTTTAACAGAACATCCTGAATATTTGGAAATGTCTATAACCCAAGCACTCCAAACTTCTTTTTCCTTCAGAGGATACATATTCTTCCATAGTCAACACACTACACATTGGAACAGTAGGGTGAATGTTTCTACATTCTTTAGCCAGTACAGTCACTTTCTCCTTGGCATAAGAACTGAAAAAAGCAAAAATATATTCCTCATCATTAAGTGCCTTTGAGTTGTTTCCAACTCACAGCGACTCTATATAGGGTTTCCAAGAAGTGGCTAGTGAGTTTGAATCACCTACTATTGTTCAAACTGGCCTTGTGGTTCAGTGCTTATCCTACAATACCACACCAATATAACATTAGATTTTGTTGTTGTTAGGTACCATCGAGTCGGTATTGACTCATAGTGATCTTATGCACAGCAGAATGAAACACTGCACAATTCTGGGCCAACCTCACTACTGTTGCCATGCTTGAGTCCATCGATGCTGCCACTTGACCAATCCATCTTGTTGGGGGTCTTCCTCTTTTTCTCTGACCCTCCACCTTACCAAATATGATATCCTACAACATTAAATAGCATCCTGTTAGTAACCAAAGCCTCCCTCTTACCTTCACCATCCCTCTAACTTAGGTCCATGAGTCACATTAAACAGATCTTTGCAACCATGGAGTCTGCACAATCACCACAGAGTCATAAGCACAAAACAATGATGGACTATAATACTTCAGTAACCAGTTGTCAAGTCAATTCTAAATCATGGCAACCTTACGTGTTTCAGGGTAGAAATATGTTCTATAGAGTCTCCAATGGTACCTCTCAATATTAACATACCTCTTAATGTTTAGGTTGATGATTAATTGAGTAGGAAATATAACTATAGCTTTATATCTCAGATAGACAGCTAAGAGAAAAGCAAGGCTAGTCCACAGGGCTATAAGGATAGTCATAAAGACAACAAGGATTAGACCTTCAGTCACCAACACTGGGAGACAGAAGTACACTGAAGCAGTTATTGATGAGTTGCAGTTCTACCCCTAAAAGGTGCCTAGATTAGACCATGTGATATCTTCAGATAGTTTCAGAAGCCCATTTATTTACTCTTCCTTAGAATGCCCACTTTTTCAGATGGTCGGCTTCATCCACCTTAGTTTGATTTCTACTCTCACCCTGAGAGGACCATAGCCTGTTGCTGCTTTGGTACAAATGCTAGATTTTATAGAAGAGACAGAGACCAGAAGAGTTCAAGTAAAAGGGGAACCCACAGAAACTGAAAGGTTAGTAAGTAGATTCAGATGGAAGTTAAAACTTAGGTCTGATTCTATAAGGAGAGGAGGGTTTTAGAGAAGCAGATGGAAGGGAAGAGAAATGATTAGCACTCTTTACTGACTAGGACAGGAAATGGAAGTACTAATGTTCAGCTGTTCCTTCTGATAGTTTTCTTTTTTATGGAAAGGTTTTGTTTTATTTTGTTCTCCCTGGACTAATCTCATGTTTGCCCTAACTCATGGCAACCCCATGCACAATGAAATGAAATGTTACCCAGCCCAATTGGAAAGCAAACTATAGTGATTGACAGGGTTTCCTTTGGCTGAATTTCAGGCAAAGGTAACCAGGCCTTTTTGCTAGTCCATTTTTGTCTGAAAGCTCTTCTGAAACCTGTTCAGATTTATGGCAACACAAGCTGCACAGACAGATGAATGGAGGCTGTGCATGAGGTCCATCTGTAGGGAATTGAACCCAGGACTCCTGTGTAGAAGACAAGACTTCTACAACTAAAGAACCAATGCTTCTCTCATTGTTAAACTCTCCAAGTCTTGTCTGGTTTGTTTTCTTTATAGTTGTAGCCAAGCAATTGCTAACAGCTTAGACACATGATCAACTGACCTAGTAAGTTTATCTCCACCTCCCAAAAGAGTGAGAGAACAAAATCCCAATTGCATATAATAAGGTCACTAAACTACAAAATACACAATATATTGGCCAAGTTGAAAGAAATGTGACTAGAAAACACAGAGAAGGTAATATTTTCAAAAATGATAGCGGGTTTAAAATAAAAAATTGAAACAAACCATTGGTATCAACTTGATTCCGTCTTATGGTGACCCCATGTGGTACAGAGTAGAATTGCTCCATAGGATTGTCTTAGTTATACTCTTTATAGAAAGGAGCTCTGGTAGCATAGCAGTTACTAATCGGGCTGCGAACCGCAAGGTCAGCAGTTCGAGACTACCAGCTGTTCCGCAGGAGAAAGATGAAGTGTTCTGCTGCCGTAAAGATTTACAGCCTTGGAAACCCTGTTCAGGGTCGCTATGAGTCGGAACCGACTCTATGACACACAACCACCAGCCACCAATCTTTATAGAGGAGTCCTGGTATGGTGCTATGAATTAATGTGCTAGACTGCAAGGATGGTGGTTCTAGCTCACCAGCTGCTCCTTAGAAACCTTATTCAGGGTTGCTCTGAATCAGGACCGACTCGATGGCACTTAACGACAACTATAACCTTTGTAATAGTAGATTGCCAGACCTTTTTCAGCAGTGCTGCTGAGTGGGTTTGAGCTGCTAACTTTTCAGTTAGTAGTTGAACACAAACTGTGTACTCCAGGGATCTGAATGGCATCCTTAAAAACAAGGTAGACAAACAAACAAAACCACAGCTGTAGAATACAATAACAGGTAAGAGGATCTTTACAAGTTAAAAAAAGTAGACCAAAACGTTTTATGAAAATCAATAATATCACCCAACCAATGTTACTTCTGTTGTTTCTGTTATCTAGATCAAATAAAACTGGCTACAGTTAT